AACATAGGAGACTTTAATGGGAAGGAACTTTAATAAAACTAGGAAACAATACAGGTAAGGCAAAGAGTCTAGTTTCTAAATGAAGCACCCAAAGTTACCCGTCCCCTCGTGGGTAAAAGTCCATCCATATGGGATTGGCCCAGAACAAGGCCCCAAAGCCTGCTACAAGTCTAAAGCATCTTCCAGTGGGGACCCACAGAAAAGGGTCACAAACAACTGGACAAGCCCGGAAGGAAAAGAGCAAAATCAACATCAAGATAAAAGCTGCCATTGTCACCTCCCCACGGGTCTCACCCACATCTGTGTCACCTAGTCCACGACCAAAAGACAAGCGCAGTTTCTTCACGTGTCTCTAGGCTCCATGCGCCTCCTCCAGGTCTCCTGGCTCCATGCTGCTTCCTTCCTCAGTCTCTTCTGCAGCTTCTCCTCTTCCTGCTCAGCTCCACCCTCCCTTGGGAGGGGCAGGGAACCTCCCCCTTTCCTGGGGACCACCCTGTTACATTCTTACTCTGCAATCCATTCCATAATCTGTTTCCATTAGCTCCATGGAAAAGCTAAGAGATTCTACAGCAAAGAAATCTTGTTAGAAAGCAAATTGAGAGGAACGTCTCAGTTTTAGAATTACTCCTATGTCAGTTAGATTGTATACAGAGAAAGAAGGGTTTTGACGTTGATTATGAGGGTAGAAAATGCTTGCTGGAAAGACCTCTCTCATCCTCACCTGATTCTAGGCACTTCCATGCATTGATAAACTCAGGTCTAATTCAATTCAGGTGGTATATGAGATATCTCCCTCCCTCCACCCCCACCCCATACAGTGCTATGACCCACTTGGCCCATTGTTCAGGCTCACACAGGAGCATCCAAGAATTCTGGGTTAGAGAGCCTAACCCGATTCAGCCATGATGGGTAGGAACCGCCCCCTAGTGCCCTGATTGTCCTCTACCAAAGGAGGGGATTGGGGTAGAGGGGAGATTGTGTCTATCAGGAGTATTATTCTCTCTCCCAAGTCCCTTGACCTCCTCAAGGGAGGTGTCATCTGCCTCTAAGTCCATGAGTATCCACTAGTCAAGTCCATTAGTCAAATAACAGACATAGCTCCTGGCAGTGATCACAGGCATCTGTACTTCACCATAAGTCTAGGATGCTGGGGATGATAACGATCCTATGCATCTTCTTGGGTGGTTTATTATGGACTTGGCAAACATGGGCTTGTGAAGACAGGACTTTCATTTTTCTTTATTTTTTTTAAAGATTTATTTATTTATGCATACAAGAGCTGGGGTACAGGCCAGAGATATGGGGGGTGAGAGGATTCACCAGACACAGTGTGGGGAACAGAACAGGCAGAATGACCGAAACACACTGCTGAGGGGAGCAGTAGGCGAGTCAGGAGAGGTCTGCTGCGCCATGTGGGTTGCTCCCTGGCCGCCCGGGGATCGAACTCATGCTGCAGAGGCTGCAGATTGCTTCATAGTGCAGTACTTAACCCCTTGTGCCACCAGGGAGGCCCTCATTTTCCTTTAGTGCAATTATTTCTATATCTTTTCTGAGTGCCATTAAGTTGTATTGCACCTGGGTCATGCCCTTCCTTCTATGAGTTCCCTCAAGTTATCAGTTTCATTAAATATTGTTGTTGCTATGAAGTACCTCTCACAACAGCTCTCAACCCTTGGTCTAACTACAAATCTTTTCATCACACTTGGTTACAAGTTTTTCAGAGAAACCATGTATTTAAATATATAAATATAGCCTGAGTAAATGGTGTATGAAAGCTGAAAAATCCCTGATCCACCCAGATGTCCATCTCCCCTCTTTCCTTCATCTTGCTCACATGGGCTGGAGGATTGGAGAATGTTTGGATTGCTGCCTCCAGACTGCCTGAATGGACTTACTAACAACCCTCAGAGTTGCTGGACTAGTCCTGACATATTCTGAGCTATGAACTCAGCTCCTAGATTTTTCTGAAATTTGTGGTTCACACACCCCCAGACCTTCAAATCCTTGAGCTATAAAGAACACAAAGAAGGATGCAGACTGATATCCTGGGGCTTGGAACTTTCAAGCAGTATCTGCACTTCTGGGAGAAGACAGGAAAGTGTCCACAGTACACCAGCCCCACACAAAGGCTTTGAAATGTCCTCTGATCTAATGAGAAAGTCTTAGCTGGACAATGCTTTGGAAAAGAACTGAATTACATTGTAATTCCAACTCTTCTCCATTTGAAAAATAAAGACTCTGGGATGTGGAGGGGGTTCAGGAACTTGCCCCAGGTCACAAAGTCAGCAAAAGGTAAAGCTATAACCAGAACCAAGTATCTGGTCGCTTTTCACTCCTCCTCAGTGTTGTTTGTTGGAAATAGTATATTTCTGTTTGGGCATTCTTGAGCCTACAGAGACACAGCAAAAGGTTTTGGCATCGGGTAGCACCACGTATTTATCTTCCTCCCAATCGTAACAATTCCTCAATCCTAACACCATATAAGGAATTTGAATCTTTCTCATAGTTGCCAATTAGCTTTGACAAACTTGGTGTCTTGCCAAGTAGTACACCACATCACACCCACTGATTCCAACAGGCAAATGATTCTGTAAAATATCTAGACTTAATATCTCAGCTAAAAATGACCATCTGTTCACACTTAATCACCATCTTCCCAAGACATATTTATTTGACAAGCTTAAAGAAAAACTTCACTTGCAGAGAGGAGTGAGGGCTTGAGTTTTTAGCCTTTCTGCTGCAGAGTTGTCATTGAACCTTAATATTAACTCAAACCTGATTCAAATACTACTGGAAATAGAATCACTTATGAAACTTAAGAGCAAATCTCAGGAAAAAAAAAAACTATTTTTCCTTTTCTTCCTCTTTTTCTTTCTTAAATATTCATTTTCTTGGAGGAAAAAACTTCAATGGCAAGGTGTGCCTTATCATTAGTTGGCTTTACAGGACCGCCAAGAAACCAAGTTGCTGTGTTCACCATGTGCTGTCACCATCCCTATGTGCTTCTCGAAGAGACTCTCTTGGATTTCAATCACTGTAAACAGTCACACCTATGATACTCCTGTAGGAAGCTGATTTGCATGTGGTCATTCAAACTCTCTTTTGGATGTTTAAAATAGGCAGACTCTCAAAAGCCCTCAACTTCACAGAGAGGGCTTTAACTTTGGTTGTATTCTCCATCAAGTACTTATACACAGTTAAACAGGCACTAAACCTGACAAAATTTACAACAGAAAAAGAAATGCTCTGTCCATTCAGAATAAACTTATAAAATCTGAAAGTCACAGCATTAATAATCAAGACTTTTGGCTTAATTGTTAGCTGCCCCACAAGACAAAATATCCCTATCAAAAAGGTACTCTAGTTTGGTCATTATCTTTTGAATGAAGAAGAACGAGTTGAACTGCCTTTGGTCATCTGTGCATGTTATTTTCCTAATCTATAGCCTTCTGATTAGAATGAATTCTGACTTGTCCTCTCTTGGGGAAAAACATAATTGAAAAGCTTCCAGAGGGCCTCCCTGGTGGCACAGCGGTTGAGCGCTGGGTTGCAAAGCTACCCCCAGCCCTTGCAGAGCTGGTTCGATCCCCGGCTGCTCCCCTGCCACCAGAGGAGGGTCCCACATGGCGAGCAGACCTCTCCTGCCGCCTGCTGCTCCCCTCAGCAGTGTACTTCGGTCCTTCTGTGGGCTCTGCTCCCCGCTCTGGCTCTGGTGAATTCTCTCACCCTCCTGCGCTTCTGACTGTACCCAGTGCTTGTATGAATAAATAAATAAATAAATAAATAAATAAATAAAGCTTCCAGAGACCAACAGTTGTATAGCAATGACTTACAGATAGCATTTACTCACTTATTTAGGAAAAAAATATTATCACTAGCTCTCTAGCAAATTCTATGCTAGTATATGAAAATAAAACTGTGGGCCAGGTAGACATGATTGGCTGCATGGAGCTTACATCTAAAGAGAGAGAGAGAGAAAAAAGCACTGCCTACATAAGTACGCAAATTGAAGGAAAACTGTCTAAGAAGTCTGGGTTTTTGTAGTAATTATCAAAAAATAGAAAATGCAGTTTCAATTTTAAATACTGATCTATGAAAAATAAGGGAATTAATACTTATTCATTCCTGCTATATGTCAAAGCTTTCACATATATTGTTCATTTAATTTTTATAAGATCTTTGTAAGTAGATATGAAGAAGTAACTGGTGGAGGGTGAAATCTCACTGTGCAGCTAGCTTGCTAGCAGGCAGGTGGGGCCTAGCAGGGGCCAGTCCTGTTTGTCTGCCAAGGCCCTCTTGATTGTTGTTTCTCAGTTCCCAGCGAGTTCAGCTACTTCCCAGGAGCAGGTGACCAAAAACTAGAAACCGCTCAAATGCAAATAAGTAGGAAAGTGGGTAAACAACTTGTGGTATGTCCATATACTGTAAAACAACTCAGTAATAAAAAAAATATATTTGGCATGTTGAACAAATTGAGATTTCAAGATGATTCGCAAAATCATTATGCTAAGTGAAAGAAGCATGCTGAAAAGAAGTATGCACTGTATGATTCTGTTTATATGAAGTTCTAAAAAATGTAAACTAACCTATAGTGACAGAAAGCAGACCAGTGGTTGCCTGTAGATCTTGGCAAAGGAGCGATAGATTAGAAAGGAGCTGAAGGAAAATTTAGAGAGAGAAATAATTGTTAACTTGATTGTGGTGATGGTTTCATGGATATACACAATTGTCAAGACTGATAAAATATATACACTTGAAATATGTGTACTTTTGCCTAATTGTTCCAACTCCAAGTCAATACACTGGTTGCCTATTTTTGCTCCAGATTTAGATAAATATTTTATAGAGTCTGTACTTCTAAGGTCAGCTTCCAAGTTTGAGCACACTAGATTGGAGAGCAACAAAATGTAGCTTTTGAATGTGTGAAAAATGGAAGCATTATTTAACATGCAGAAAACATACGTGGTGATTAAGAATAAGGACCTCAGAGTTAGACTTACCCGAGTTTGAATCTCAGTTCTATTTTAGACTTGGGATATGGCCTCAGATGAAACTAAATTTCTTTTATTTCCGTTTCCTTGCCTGTAAAAACAGAAAACAACACTATTCACCCCATAAAGTTATTTTGGATATTCAGTGAGGCAATGCTTATACAGCACCTGTCTGGCTCAGACAGGTTCTTTTTTTTTTTTTTTTTTTTTTTTTTTCCAGACAGGTTCTTAATAATTAAAACCTAACATAATTCTCAAATGGCATCTCAAATTTTCTAATTCTTAAAATTCACTGCCATGATACTATAGAGTAACATGAGATTATCCAGCTGAGTCTGCATAGCTAGTTGATGGACATTCTTAAAACCAATCATCAGTTATATCTTGTTCAAAGTGGTTTATCAGGTTGGTATGTTTTCATGGGGGGTTTATTGCAGTAAGAGGTAATCAAGACACTAGGTTTTCTCTATCCTTGCTTATATCTATGGTCATATCAAAGTCGCTTTCTGAGATTTTAGATGGAAAATACTGGATATAGAGCTTGATCCAGGAAATCCGTAAATTCTTTCTGGTTATGGATGAATTAAACTTCTTTACACTTTGTCCTAAGAAGGTATTTGTGATCTGGTACATAGTTGGAACTCAATCAATGTGAATACCTTTGTCTCCCCAGTTCAGGATTTAGGTTTATCAACATTGCACTAGAGTTCCTGTGGAGATCACATGAACTACTGGGTTCTGAGACAGACTATAAGAGTGTTATAAGGGTTGCACTGAAATACAGGCAGCAGATGCACCTCTGCAGTACAAGTTCTTCCATAACTTGATAGCAGCACTCTATCTTTATCTTTCCAAAGTGTGGCCACTTCACTGACCATAAAAAGACAGGGTCCGTGGGCCTCCCTGGTGGCGTAGGGGTTAAGTCTCAGCATTATCACTATTACAGCTGGAGTTAATCCCCAGCCAGGGAGCTAACCCCATAGCACAGCAGAACTTTCCTGTCTTACCTGCTGTTCCCCCTAGCAGTGTACCTCAGTAAATCCACCTGTTCTGTTCCCCATGTTGTCTCTGGTGAATCTTCTCACCCCCCTACACTTCTGACCTACACCCCAGTTCTTTTACAAAAACACTAAAAGAAAAAGACAGGATCCTCAATAAATGGATTTTACTAGCAGTCACTCTGCTAGAAGATTCTTTTATCATTTCTATTAGTCTTCATCACAAATCGCTTCTGCTTTATACATGAGATAATTGGGTTTTGACTTGCTCACGTTTATAGAGGTAGTATGGAATAATAAAGCCAAGATTTCAACCCACACAGGATTTTGGCTGAACAACCTATGTTCTGGACAACGTACCATGTTACTTTTCAATGTTTGTGGGCTTAGAAAGAGTCCCTTTGAATTTATTTTCCAAATGGAGACACTTCTAATTGTGAATGTGGTGGAGGGATTATTAATAATTATGTCAGGACAAGAGGTGTGAAGTAGGACTCTGCTGGGCAAATTGAGGTAGATGGTCACCTTAATCTGAGTTATTAACTCAGATTGTTCAAGCAATATTTCTTTTTTTTTAATAATAAATTTTATTTTTATATTCCCCATACAGTTGCAACCCCCCCTTTCTGATCCCAATCCCTCCCCTCCCGCCCCCCACCCCCCCAAAAGTGTCTCTGTTTCATAGTTTTTTGTTGATTCTGATTTTCACTTTCTTATAGTTATTCATTTTCCTGGTCCCTTATTTAAGTTTTCTAGATTCCTGCTATGAGTGAGACCATCCGGTATTTTTCTTTTTCTTTTTGGCTTATTTCGCTGAGCATGATCCCTTCCAGCGCCATCCATGTTGCTGCAAATTGCATGTGCTTATCTTTTTTGAATGCTGAGTAATATTCCAAGGTGTATATGTACCACATCTTCTTGATCCAGTCATCTATTTTTGGGCATTTGGGTTGTTTCCAAAGCTTAGCTATTGTAAACAGTGCTGCTATAAACATAGGGGTGCAGGTGTTCTTTGGAATGGATGTTTCTGTGTCCTTTGGGTAGATACCTAGGAGTGGAATTGCTGGATCATATGGAAGCTCTATGTTTAGTAGGTCCAGAAATCTCCACACAGCTCTCCATAGTGGTTGGACCAGTTTGCACTCCCACCAACAGTGCACAAGAGTTCCTTTTTCTCCACACCCTCGCCAACATTTTTTGTTGCTAGTTTTTTTAATATGTGCCATTCTCATTGGTGTAAGATGGTATCTCATGGTAGTTTTGATTTGCATTTCCCTGATTACAAGTGATGTTGAACATTTTTTCATATGCCTGTTGGCCATTTGCATTTCCTCTTCAGAGAAGTTTCTTTTTAGCTCTTCTGCCCATTTTTTAACTGTATTATTTTCTTTGTTGTTGTTGAGTCTCATCAGCTCTTTGCAGATTTTTGTGATCAGTCCTTTATCATTAGTGTTGGGTGCAAAAATGTTCTCCCAGTTGGTGGGGTTTCTCTTTGTTTTTGTTATTGTCTCTTTTGCTGTGCAGAAGCTCTTTAATTTGATGTAGTCCCAGCTGTTTATCTTCGCCTTCACTATCACTGCTTTGGGTGATGTGTCTGTAAAGATGTGCAAATCCCGTAGTGTTTCGCCTATATTTCCTTCTATATATTTTATGGTTTCAGGTCTTATGTCTAGTTCTTTAATCCATTTTGAGTTGATTTTTGTGTATGGTGTGAGGTAGTGGTCAAGCTTCATTCTTTTGCATGTAGCGACCCAGTTTTCCCAGCACCATTTATTGAACAAACTTTCTTTGCTCCAATGCATAGTCTTTGCTCCTTTGTCAAAGATTAGTTGACCATAGATCTGTGGGTTTATTTCTGGATTTTCTATTCGATTCCATTGGTCTGTATGTCTGTTCTTGTTCCAATACCATGCAGTTTTGATGATTATGGCTTTGTAGTATAGTTTGAAGTCTGGGAGTGTGATGCCTCCATTCCCTTCTCTTTTTTTCAGGAGAGCTTTGGCTATTCGGGGTTTTTTGTGATTCCATATGAATTTCATCAATAATTGTTCTATTTCTTTGAAGAATGACATTGAAATTTTGATTGGAATAGCATTGAATCTGTATATTTCAAGCAATATTTCAAAGCAACAAGATAGCAAGCAAATAGGTGAGAAGAAAGTTTGTCACATGCTGAATGCTGGCCAAATAGGGTCTCTGGAAAGGAAAATATGACCCTAATTTTAAGAAAAAAATTTCAGGACATGATCTAATTTCTCTCTACTCATAGCGAGGCCTGCATACCAACAGCAGGGCCAAAAAGCTCTGTTAAAAATACAAAAATCTTGAGCACCCCCTAAAACTACTTGAATAAGAATTTTCATTTTAAGATATCTTGGTAATTCTTATGCACACGAAGGTGTCAGGCACACAGGTCTACAGTTCTAGAAACTTGCTTACCATCTGAATAACTTCAGTAGCTAAAAAAAAAAAAAATATTCCAAGAGCCTATCCCCCAGAGATTCTGATTTTGGGGTAAACCCAGAAATCTACATTTTAAAATAACTCCTGATGAAATCCTTGGGGACAGTTAAGTTGGGGGCCCACTAATCTAGAATGTGCAATATAGAGAGCACCCAAGTTTTCACCAGAAGTCCCATGGAAAATATAAATGAAGGGAGCCTGAGGTCCTCTGCGCTTCACTGTATTTACATTTTTATCAAGAAATTTTCAACCACACAATCCTTCGAGAACTAGTTTCCATAATAGGAAAGTTTGTTAGCCTAGGAATTTTCAATGAAATGAAGCAAAGCATAATTTTTCCAAAGAAAGCCTTCCAGCTCCTGGAGCAAACCCACACAGCCATAAGTGTACCCAGACACAGACACAAACATGAAATGAGCCAAGAAGATAGCCAAATGCTGCTTCCCGATACATTCACAGCAGTGTGGCCATGATTATTTGGATTTGTGAGAACATCTGGATCCCTATCGTGCGCTGTCTGGGTTTCTGTGTCATTTCTCAGTACTGTCAGAGAACAGAAGCAAACCCTGCAGGTTGACAGATACCTTGCCGTGTTACTCTCCTCTTCCACTTGCATTTCCTTTTATTAGTGAATGTGTTGTTAAGTATCTAATTGATGTCTACTGAAGCAAGCTCAGATTAACCCAGATCTTAATCTATGTTGAGAAAGCTATATATAGCTTCAGCTTCTTAATAATGTAGGCCAGAACCAGGACCATAAAGCAAAGGTCATAAGCACAGATGTTCTCATTCAAACTCTGAAATAAGAAAGCTCCAAAGAAGTAAAATAACACAGCAGGCCAGAAGAGAGTACTGGAACCTTGGCCTTCTGAACTAGGTTCAACAACTGGCTCTTACAGCTACCAACCTAAGGTTGATATTTAGCAAGAAATACTAGAAATTATAACTCTCTCAGGTAGAGTTTGCATTCTTGGTATTCTCAGCCCTTTGGCATACTATATCATGATTTCTACTGCTTAATTTTTTTAATATTTTATAATGAAAGAAAAGAACAATAAATATCCAAATAATCACGGTCCGATTCTATAATTGTTAACATGTGACTCTATTTGCCCTATTTAAATCTTTGTTGAACCCTTTTCAAGTGAGTGGCAGACATCTTGACACTTCACTGCTAAATATTTTAGCACACTTCTCATCCATAACCACAATACCCCTAAAACACCAAAGAAAAGTAGCAAAAATAACTCCTTAATGTCACCTAGCATTCTGTCCTTACTGAATTTTTCCTAATTGCCCCCCAAGTGTCTTTACACCTATATTTCATTTTGACAATTTTCTAAGAATACAGTAGAAAGAATTTTGTAGTGCAGTCATACACCCACACCCAGATGGTGCCACTAGTGTCTTTATTATACTTATTTTACCACATGTCTTTACATTTAGCCATATGCTCTCTTTACCCACCAATTTATCTTAATTTTGACATATTTCTAAGTAAAATGAACCAACACAGTTACCCTTAAGTTGTATGAAAATCATTAAGTAGAATTCAATCTTTTTTTAATCATTTTTTCCTTTGATAATGAACTTATATACAATGAAATGCACAAACATTGTCAGATGACAG